GGTAAGCGAGGCCTGTCTGGAGCTCGTTTGCAGCGCCTCCGCTTAGGTAACCGCTCGTTCCATGTATCTAGCCGGCTCATCCAGCTTTGCATTCAGATTGGTTGCCCTGTCTTTTTAGAGAACCCTCAGGGTTCGCTTCTCTGGCATGCTCCAGGCATGGTCAAGCTGCTCTCTCACGAATCTTGCACGGTCCATGTGCCACTTCGGTATTTCGGCCAACGAGCGTGCTGTTAATTTATTTCGGCCAATTTTTCCCGTGCGTCACCCCCTCTGCCTCGCCAAACATTACGTTGTTGCACATGATTATCTTACTGTGGTGGTAAGTGCCTTCCGCGTTTGCGGGCGTTCGCCCTCTCGCCGCTGCAGAATGCCGCAAAACACTTTGTGTTTGACGAGTTGCAGGGGTGACGCGCGGGTTTTCCTTGACTTTTTTGCATGGCCAATGTAAGACAGATAGCAAACAGGCGTAAGTCGATGTCGGCTAGCTGACGTGGCCAGGTCTGCTCTGCGGGATTCGGGTGGCTCTGGGCAGTGATGTTAAAAGGCGTGCGGCTAACGCCGGGAATAGCTGTCAGTCTCACTGTTCCTGATTTGCCGTGGCCTCGCCCTCCCGCGCTCGTCCCCGTAGAAAAAAGACATCGTCCTGGCAGCTGGGAAGTGGAAGCATCTGAGTCTTTACACAAGTGTATGCTGCGTCAGACGGCGAAGTTGCCGCACTTGATGGGCGATCGTGGCCATCTCGCTCAAGCCGCCCCTCCCGTTCCTCCCTTGCCGTCTCTCGACTGCACTATTTCATTAGGTGGCTCTGGGCACTGACTTTAAATGTGTGCGGCAATCGCCGGGAGCAGCTGTCAGTCTCACTGTTCCTGATTTGCCGTGGCCTCGTCCTCCCGCGCTCGCCCCCATAGAAAAAAAAACATCGTCCTGGCAGTTGGGAAGTGGAAGCAGCGCTGTCTCTCTCTCTCTCTCTCTCCGTATATATATACACATTTATATACATATATATATATATGTATATATATATATATGTATACATCTATCTATAACCATGTATATGTATGTCTGTGTATGCCGCTCTCTCTCTCTCAGTCTCTCTCTCTCTCTCTCTTTCTCTCCCTCTCTCTCTCTCTCTCTCTCTCTCAGGTGTGTTGTCAAGAGGAGAGACTCGCATTCCTTCTCCCATGACATTGCCCTTGCCTCCCTGACCTCGTCTGACCCCTCTGCCTAAGTGTATGGGGTGCGATTAAGCGGGGAGGAGTCAGGGGAGGAGAGCCGATCAGCGCGGTGGAGTGGGGAGGAGTGTTGTGGAGCGCTGTGGAGTTCGATGGGGTTGGCTGGAGTCTGGAGGAGCGGGGAGGAGGCGCCGAGGGAGGGAGCGAAATGGGGTCGGGAGGAGTGCCGACGAGTCAGATGGAACGAGGCGCCCGGAGTAGGGAGGAGAGCCGAGGAGTAGAGTGGGAAGGATTCCACATGAGTTCCGAGGGTTGCAATGGAGGGGGGAGGAGTCGGGGGAGTGGGGTGGAGTGCCGAGGAGTGCGATGGAGTTGGGGAGAATCCAGAGGAGTGGGAAGAAACACCGATTCGTGCGATGGAGTGGGGAGATATGCCGAAGAGTGTGAATGAGCGGGGAGGTCAGGAAGAATCAAGAAGAGTGCCGAGGAGTCCGATGAAGTGGGGAGGAATCGAGAGGTGCGCTGAGGAGTGCGATTGGGCGTGGAGGAGAGGAGTGCCGAGGATCGCTGAGGAGTGAGATGGAGTGGGGAGTAGTCGGGAGGAGTCGGGAGAAGAGACGACGAGTTAGATGGAACGAGGTGTCCGGAGTAGGGAGCGAAGGGATGTCGAAGAGTGGAGTGTGGAGGAGTCCACAGGATTGCTGATAAGGGCCAAGGGTCGCAATGGAGAGGGGAGACGTCAGGGGGGGGAGCGGGGTAGAGTGCCTCGGAGCGCGATGGAGTGGGACAGAAGCATACATGTATACATGTACGCGCACGCAAGCCTATGCATATGAAGGTACGCACAACCCCACGCGCGAACCAGTGGGTCCCCAATGCGGGTGGATCGCGGGGACTAGACACGCGTCCCAGAACACAGACACGACAGGACAGACACGGATAGTTGCAACACTATGAAATAGAGACACGAATCGGCATTAACATATGGACACGGTTCGCGCTATTAGACACATAACGTGTTGGACACGGCTAGAGATGGAGTAGACATGGACATGCGGGGAGGTCTCAAGCCGTTGGTCCAGTTTCTATGCGCATAGAGACGGCAAGCTTCCCGTTTCTATGCGTATGGAAGCTCGAACATTTTTGGGGGCATCATGACGGCCCCGAGTCTAAGTTCTACCTGTTGCGCGTCTTGTAGGCTAGGCTATGGCCACAGGCCGGCCCCTGTGCCAACAAGTAGCACAGGATAACACAGCATAGCAAACTACAACAAACATATAACACACAGACAGAGTTGTTGCTACTTGCGCGACTTAGGCGACTTCATGCGACTAAGTAACTTAACGAATGTTGTTTGCTTGCGGTCGCATTCGCTGCCCCCGACATCGTCCTCACAATTTTCATCCTAAGCACCCTCGCCCTTTTCCTCCTCCCCGAAGCGACCGCACGAAGGTGATCACAGTCGCCCCACCCTCCGGAGTGCTGGTCCGCCGACCCCCTCCCCATACTATCCTCCCCCTCCTTGCCCGCCCCACCGACCGTCAGAAGAAAAACCACGAGAAGGACGAGGCAGAGTGAAGAAGGGAAGGGGGACGGTGGCAGCAGGGTTGGGAACGAGGAGGGGGATGGGAGAGCGACGCAGGAGCGGGAAGGGGGGAGGGAGGGCGGGCGGCGGGCGAAGATGGAGGGGGTGAGAGTGGGAAAGAGGGAGGGGGCACGGATGGGGGCGGAGGATGACGAAGGAGAAAACGAGTGAGGGAGGGACCGGGGAAGGAGGGAGGGCGTTGGGAGTGAGAGGGAGAGGATGGAGGGAGGAGTAAGGAGAGCAGGAGGAGGGGGGGGGACGGGGGAACGAGAGGTGACGGAGGGGGAGGGGAAGGGACATGAGAATGGAGGAACGAGGCCGGAAATGAGGGAAGAGGGGAAAGGACGGAGCGAAGAGAAGGGACGGGGGAGGAGTGAGGGGAGACGGACGGAGTGAAGGGAGCGGGACGAGGTGGTGGTAAGGACGGATCAAGCTTATCACGGGTGCGGGCAGCGATGATCATCAGACAGATCATCGCTTGGCCCCAGCGCCAAACCGATTGGCGAGCATAAATCTGGCGTGAGCCCAGAGGACCGAGAGGGCCAACCAGTGTGGCCCCGTCGGCCTGCTCCTCGGCATTGGTATCGTCGTCGTCGTCGTCGTAGTCCTCCTCCTCCGCCTCCTCCGCCTCCTTCTCCTCCTTCTCCTCCTCCTCCTCATCCTTCTCCCCTCCTCCTCCTCCGTCTCCTCCTCCGCTTCCTCCTCCTTCTCCCCTCCTCCTACTTCTGCTCCTCTGCAGCTGAGGCCGCCTGCAAGGCCAGCCTGGTGAGCACTTCCCTGCAAAAAGCAGCAGAAGTCGAGCAATGGGTTGCGCCATGGCCGCGCCATCCATGGGTTGCGCCATGCGATGCGACATAGGTTGCGCCATGGGTTCCGCCATCCGTGGGCTGCGACATAGAATGTTCCATGGGACTCGGGGCTGAGCGGGGTCGGGCCAGGGGAACGGTTTGGAAGGAAGGCGGGGTCTGGCGAAATGCATCGTTCGGCCGAACGGGTTGTCGAGGGGTATGGAGGGAGCTTACAGGCTACGTAGAAGTTTTCCCAAGTACTGCGAATTCACTTATTAATAGGTTCGGTTAATTAACTTGCCAACACTTACAAATAAGTTACCCCGCTCGGCTAACACCTGAAAGTACTTGTCAGTAGCGCCACTACACTTGCACCGCAAGAGCACCACTTACAACAGTTGCCAATACTTGAGTCCTTGTGGCACTTACCCCCGTGCTATAAGGAGGTTACACCCAGCTTTATCCAGGATGCAAGTAGCCGAACCCCGATGACTCTGGTGCCGAAACGCATGGCCACGGGAAGCCCTGCATGGTGTCAAAATGGCTCCGGGATGAACCCGCGGTGCCGAAAAGCATGGCCCCGGCATGGCCCCAGTGCCGAACAGCCTGGCCCTGGGACGGCCCCACTCAGTGCTGAAAGCATGGCCTTGGGATGGCCCCGGTGCCGAAAAGCATGGCCCCGAGCAGGATGGCCGCTCGGAGGCGGGCGGGCGGAGGAGGAACGTCGGCCGCCACCGCCGCGTCGCAGCCCAGCTCCCCTGAGGTCCGACGTCACAGCAAACACTGAAGCATCGCGAAAGGTCACGGCTGGAGCCCTCGACCCCGTCTTTCTGCGCCGCTTCTCGAGCCGAATCGATCTGCGGGGGTCCCTGGGCTCGAAGTGGGGCGACGACGCCCGCTGTGGAACAGTTGCCAGGGAAACGTAAGACTCGAGTATGCCTGAACTCGGGTTTGCCGACGTTTCGTGGGATGTTTGCAGCGGGAGTTTGCCTCGAATTTCAGATTGGGCCTCGTCTTTTTGATGCTGGCCCCGTCAGGCCAACCCGAGCCCCCCGTACACGAGTCTTACGTCTCCCCGAAACTGCAACGCCAGGATCTCAGGGTCGGCCGATCCGATCGAGCCCCCCCGGCCAGCTCCGGCGCGCATGTTCGGTAGCAAATCCTGGGAGCCTGGCGTCCTCTGTGAATTCTGTCTTTGGCTTCGATGAGCGCCTGGGAGTCGATGAGACAGCACCGCTTCAGCGCCGGCTATAGCGTCGACGAGCGCCGATTTTTTAGCGCCATCTGGCGTCGACGAGAGCGTCGACCAGCGTCGAGTCGCAAGAGCCGACAAGATGGTACGGGAGGCCCCCGTGAGTTGCCTCCGAACGCATGGGCGCCGGCGCGCCCGCAAGCGCCGCCGCGCCGCCGCGGCGTGGGGGCGCCAGCGCCGGCGGAGGCGCCGCCGCCGCCGCCGGGCATGCCGCCATGGTGGCAGGCGGGCAGCTCCGACGGGGCCCCGGCCGTGCAGGGCGGGTCGGCCGTGGGCAGGCTCCTCGACCCCCCTCCTCCCTCCCTCCTCCTTTCTCCGTTTTCCCTCCCTCTTCCTCCCTCTCCTCCCTCTCCTCTCCTCTCCTCCTCCTCCTCCTCCTCCTCCTCCTCCTCCTCCTCCTCCTCCTCCTCCTCCTCCTCCTCCTCCTCTCCTCCTCCTCCTCCTCCCCCTCTTCCTCCTCCTCCTCCTCCTCCTCCTCCTCCTCCTCCTCCTCCTCCTCCTCCTCCTCCTCCTCCTCCTCCTCCTCCCCCTCCACCTCCTCCTCCTCCTCTTCCTCCTCCTCCTCCTCCTCCTCCTCCTCGTCTTCTCGTCCTCGTCCTTCCTCCTCCTCCTCCTCCTCCTCCTCCTCCTCCTCCTCCCCTCCTCCCATCTCCCTTCTCCCTCCGCCTCCTCATCCTCCCCCTCCTCCTTCCCTCCTCCTCCTCCTCCTCCTCCTCCTCCTCCTCCTTTCCTGCTCTTTCGTTTGTTTCGAGGCAGCCTCCTGCCCCATCGCTCCGGACTTGGCCGCGGTCCTCCTCTTCCTTCTCTTTCTTCTCTCCTCCTCCTCCTGCCCCTCCTCTTGGTGCTCCTCGTCGCCTGTTGCAAAACAAACATCTTTCCTCCTTTCACCCTCCTCCTCCTCCTCCTCCTCCTCCTCCTCCTCCCCCTTCCTCCTCCTCCTCCTCCTCCTCTCCTCCGCCTCCCTCCTCCTCCTCCTCCTCCTCCTCCTCCTCCTAGTCCTTCTATCATCTCCCCCTCCTCGTCGTCACTCCCTATCTCTCATCCGATCCTCCCCCTTCTGCCTCCCCTTTCCCCCGCTTGCCCCCATGAGCTTACCCTCCCCACCCCCTTCCCCTCCCCCCTGGTCCCCGGGTGAATTTTCGGACGTTTGCCGCTTTTGCCAGGCTCCGCGTCGAAGAACACTACGTGGGAGGGGGTCGGAGCCTCGGGGGTCCACATTGTGAGGAAACTGCGACACGGGGGTTTGTGTCGAGAAATCCTCGACAAGACTTCTGGTGACCTCCTGAGGAGGTTCTAGCAGAAGACCTCTGGAGGTCTCCAGAGCTACTTGAGGCCTCGTCGTCGGTCACAACAACAACAACAAAAAAGCCCGTCGTGATTTGCTGTTCCTCACAGCGCGAGGGGGTCTGGGTCTCCGCGGGCGTCTCGCGCCGAAGGTTCTTCGGCGAGACGGCGAGGAAGGCGCGGGACGCCCACGACAGGCTGGTGCTGCTGCGGCACGCGGCCGCCCACGGCCCTGCGCCGGAGGCGCCGGGGGAGGGCGGGCCCACCCTCGCCGTGGAGCTCTGCGCCGCGGCGGACCTGCGCTCGCCCACCAGCGCCCTCGGCAAGGTCCCAGAGAACCAACGCACTGGCAAAAGTCCGGAGGGAGGTTCTTCGCAAAGTTCGGCCCTATAGGGGCCCTCGCCGGGCCTCGGGGCCGTCAAACGCTTCAGGATGAAAAGCCGGTCCTGGGGAATGGGTCGAGGCTTCCGGGGACCCCGTATGGAACAAAGCACGACATCGGATCTCAGGGGATGATTGTTTGGCCCAGAGAAACAGCAAACCAAAGACAACCAATCAAGCAGCAGACCCCCAAAACCAAGCGCTCCCGGCAAGGTCGACAGCTACTGCGAGCTTGCCCTGGGCGAGGCTGGCGCACGCTGGGCCGCCAAGTGCGGCCCCGGGCCCCGCGCCACGACGCCGGTGGCCCTGCGGCAGTGCAGCCCCCGCTGGGGGGCCACCTGCTCGCTGCCGCTGCCCGGCGGCGCGCAGGCCGCAGAGCTGGAGCTGAGCGTGCGGGTCATGCTGGCCAGCGCGGTGCAGGGTGACAGGGTCCTGGGCGAGGCGCGGGTCCCCCTCGCCGAGACCGCCGGCGCCGCCACGGTGAGGCTGCAGGGGGCCGGCTTCGCCTCCCTGAGCCTGCGGTGGTGCACGCTGGTTTCTGGCTCGCCGGGCAGCACCGCGGCCACGCTCCAGGGGTCGGAGGACCAAGCGCACGCCCCGGGCTCGCCGCAGTCGCCCGCGGCGGCCTGTCAGCGGGCCGGCGGCAACGTCGTGCAGATGGCCTCTCCGAGGGAGCTGCGTGGGGGCACTGACGCCGAGGGCGGGGGACTGGGGAGGCGGTGGGACATCGACGCGGAGTACGGCGCGCTCGGCCCAGGCGAGCCAGGGCCGCGGGGCGCCGACCCCTTCGAGGAGGCCCTCACGTTCTGGGCCGCCCTCGCCCGCGGTGCCCCGCAGGGGCTGCAGGGAGGCCCCGGCCCTTTCGCCGCGCGCCTGCTTGCCGCCGGGGAGGACGAGGCGCTCCTGAACGAGCTGGTGCTGCAGGCCCCGTGCTCTCCCGCTCCCCCTCCTCCTCCTCCCCCTCCTCCCCCTCCTTCTCCTCCTCCTCCTCCTCATCATCATCATCATCATCATCACCATCACCATCACCATCACCATCACCATCACCATCACCATCACCATCATCATCATCATCATCATCATCATCATCATCATCATCATCATCATCATCATCATCATCATCATCATTGTCGTCATCATCATCATCATCATCATCATCATGCAATCCTCCGTCACCTGAGTTGTTGGCCGCGAGTGATCGTGCCATGCAGTTGCTGAATGCCGCTCCGCGTCGCAGCTTCTCCAAGCACATGCTCATGGGGCTTCGCAGTCTGGGCAATAGTATTGAATTCCCGAACTTTTCCGTCCTTGCCAGTTGCAGCCAGCTTCGGTTGCTCGCTAAGTGTCTGCAGGAGGTGCGGTCTAGTGTTGGATTGTGTTTTGCTCGTGGGGTGATGGGGTGGTGGAAGCATGAGCTCGTCTCGTCCATCCTGCAGACAGCCACTGTATATGCATATGTTTTCACCTTGCTGCCGCGCGATATCGACCGTACGGGTACCCAGGAGTTTTTCTATAGGCAACTCAAACTTGTTATCCCGACCCCGCTCGAGCTCTGCCCGCAGTCTGGTCTCTTGCAAAGGTTATGTGCATATTGCTTCACGGTTTCATTGTGCACCTCGTGGTTGTGTATTCGGCTGTGCTCGACCAGCGCCGGGGACTGACTTAGATGATTTGAACCACCACAAGACCTACCCGAGTCTCTATAATCTCTTGATTTCTCATCTCCGCTCATTCCTCGCAGACATCAATGGTGATTGGTTATCTGAGTTTACCCTTACTGCGTGCGGCTGGGCAGCAAAGCGACTGTCCAACAAAGGTTTCATGCCAGGCTCCGTCTGCACTCGAGAATGCACCCCGCCATCCGAGTGGCCTAGAGCGAGGTCAGATCAAGCCAAAACCAAAACGCTGGGGGGAGCGGGCCCTGATAACAAAAACAACACCATCATCATCATCATCATCATCATCATCATCATCATCATCATCATCATCATCATCATCACCGTCATCCTTCTCATCATCATCATCATCGTCATCATCATCATCATCATCACCATCGTCCTCATCATCATCATCCCTCTCCTCCTCCTCTTTCTCTTCCTCCTACTCCTCCTCCTCCCCCTCCTCCTGCTGCTGCTGCTCCTCCTCCTCCTCCTACTCCTCCGTAGCCATTTTGGCTCAAGCCGTTTCGGCCCAGGCATTTTGTCTGGGATTGTCAGCGCGCAATTCGAAGGGGCTCGCGCTGGCGAGCCACAGATGGCTCAGCGGCACCCGTCGTGGCCTGGTGGCAACTGCGCCAGGCTCTATGGCATCGCGCTCGCGAAATGCGGCGCAAGGACAACGCGTCTACGGCGCGGCAAGCAGGCGCCCAGGACGGCGCGGGAACGCAGTGCGCAGGCTGGACACGCGCGACAGCCTCCGTAGACCAAGAGCACGCACACTTCGTCATGGCAGAGAGGTCCAGGAGGCAAGCCTGAGCGACCCAGTCGGCGTGCAGCTGGGCCGCCCAAGCTGGGGAATTGCAAGAAGCCCGGCCCCACCCTCAATGCCAATAGGAGAACAGCGACAACCAGAACGTCGTGGAGTACGACCCGAAGACTGCCAAGACCATGCTGAAGAACACGGCCAAGGCGCGCGGTGACGACAAGACCAAGTGGCCCGACGGCTGCAAGGACCTGGTAGTCTGCTGTGGAGCCCGAGGCCACCGGCGAACAGCCAGATCCCAACTACAACGGCACGTCGGCATTCCAGCTTGGGCAGCGACTTCAGGACATCAACCAGAAGCTCGACAAGGCGCGGGAGCGTCTGCAGGAGCGGAACCTGGAACTTCAAGAAACTACACCAGATAAGGATGTTGTGCAGCTTATTGTCGCCAACCATGAGGAGCGGAGGAATAATATCAAGGAGCCGCAAGCTGAAGTTTTCATCCTGCGGTGGCGCTGTGCGGCAAGGTTGCCAATGGCCAGAAGAAGACGGGAAGTGAGCACATCCACAGCTATCTCGAGGAGCCTCTCCGAGTGCTGCAGCAAGCTCTTGAAGCCCTCGAACAACAGCTCACCGACAAAGCGGAAAAGGCACAAGGGAAGGAATGCGGGACAATGCGTAACATGGGTTATGATAGCGATCATGATCGCGATGCTGATATGCTGGGCCACGTGAACATTCCTATGCCCGACGAGGTTGAGTACGAGGAGATATTCCTTCAGGCTGGTCTCAAGTTCGATGGCGTCGACGAGGAGTTTGAGCGCAAGCGGATCAAGGCCGCCAGGGTACGCCTGCTGGAGCCCCTCGCCGAGGCCAACGCCGCTGCCGCGGCCAAGCGGAGGATGTTCCAGCTTCCAGCGCCTTCCCAAGCTGAAGCACATGGCAAGTGAGTCGAATGTGAATCTTGGACGGGTCAGGGGGCAAGCGGAAGGGGCGGACGCGCTGGCGTTTGGCCGTTGCGCGAAGAAGCGGGTCAATGGCATGATGCGTTGCGCGGTGGGCGGCATGCAGCTACCGCGCAGCATGGTGTCGACGTTCAGGATGGCGTGATGGGTGGTGGCGATGTTGGTGGCGGTGCTGAATCCCTTCGCGCGGCTGCCGACGGGCTGGCGGTCGATGCCCGCGCCAAGAGCAGCCCACCCCATGGAGCCACTGACGAGTGGATTGCAGCCCCTGTGGAGGTGTGCAGGGGGGGCGCTGTCACCCATGAAGTTGATCATCAGGTACGCAGCAGCGCTGAACCCCTGGGTCAGGCTGCCGTCGGGCAGGCGGTCAACGCACTCACCCAGGGTTGTCCGCTCCACAGGGCCACTGACGAGTGGGCCGCAGCCCCCGAGGAGGCGCGCAGAGGAGGCGCTGCTGGTTGCAGCACTCCGAGTGCACTCACTGAAGCGAGTCCGTCTTCGGCGGCGACGTGCGCGAGAGGCGGGCCTAGTAGGGCCATGACAGAATCGGAGGAGGTCGCGGGGGAGCTGGGGCCCCAGGTTTGCGGCGACGCTGGGCCCCAGCGAGGTGGGCTGGAGACTCGCGCGCGTCATGTGCATGGAGGGGCCGGCCCGGGCAGCATTCGAGAATGGAGCATCGCCGCTGTCAACGTCGCAGCAGCGCGTCCCCGAACACGGGCGGGGTCCTCCCAGGAGCACAAACTGCTGGGTGGTGTGGTAGGCGATGATGTGCTTCGGCTTCGTCATGAGGGTTGGAACTGTCGTCTGCCGCCAGCCCGCAAGGGGGCGGGGCGATTTGCCCGCTCGGGTGCAGGGGTCGGCATTCGACAAGACATCGCCCTCACGGCGGCCCCCCGACTCCGGTGGAGTGGCGCCACTTGCATGGAGATGGACTGCGCAGTGGGTGGATGGCATGTTACCAGGTGGTTATATGATTGCCTCCACCTGTCTAGTCCCTTGGCGCAAGATCACGGAGTTTGAGGATGCCAGAAAGCGCGCGCCCATGATGTGCACGGAGCAGCTCGAGGATCGGCGGCCCTGTTCCTTTGGAGGTGACTGGAACATGACCCCATTCAGAGTTGGCGGACATCCAAGTGGCGCAGCGTTTTCCCGCGATGGTCGCTGTGCAAACACAATAGACATGCGCTCGTGGTGTAGGTTGTGCGTTGGACTGCTTCGGTGTCACTTGTCATTGGGTTTGAGAGGATAGATGGGCATCCCATTGCGGCGCGCTGGGGGGTTCGGCTGAAGCTGAGCGCTGGACGTGGTGCAACACTTGAGCAACAGCCCAAAATGCCCAAGAAGTTCCCGCAGGACTTCCCAACAGGAGTTCCGCGACCTCCGCCGTCGCATCGAAGTTCATGGGGAATGCGAGCACCCTCGCGGCAAAAGAGATTAGCAGCGGCGTTGCGCCGAAAGGCAGGGGGTGGCTGAGCGGGTGTTGGCTGGCGGTTTCCAGCTGGACGATCGTTCGCGCAAAGCTTGCAAACGACGAGGGGGGGATCCATGGCCAGAGCTCATGTCATTGGCAAATGCTCGCAAAGCTCCAGGGCGTGGTGCAGAAGGCAACGCTGCATCGCGAATATGGCGCCGAACCCCATGGTCGACCTCGTGCATGCGCTGAAGAGGAACTGGGATCAGGGCTGCAAGCTCCCGGGGGACAGGTGCCACACCTAGGTGAATCTGAAGTGGCTCGTGGATGCAAGCCGGAGTGCTGCGATGGAAGCGACAAGGATCGGGCAACGTGTCGCTCGGAGTCGGGCGCGACAGTGGGGGGTGCTAGTCTCTGAGGCGGTTTTGCGCGGCGGCAAGTAAGTACACGCATGGTTAAAAAAAAAGCTACCTCTATCTTGGCAACATGCTGGTATCCACCTACGCTGGGGATGCGATCCCGCGCTTCCAAGCTGAACGCTGACCAGGAGGAATGGGAGAATATGTAAAGTACGTGATGACGAACAGAGTCTTGGTGCTGGGCTACGCTTCCATTTACCGTTGGAAGATGCGCAGGTGATAGATGCAGAGCATATCAGGACAGGGGCCAGCAGTTTCAAGCGTGGTACGGCTACGGGGTCGGACAAACTCGGGCCGCGGAATATGGCGCTGTTGTCAGATGGCTGGCTGGAGGCTTTTGCTTGCATCATGAGGGTTGCGGAAGCTACGGGTGAGCTGCCACCGCAGATGACCCCCGCCATCATGCCCAGTTTGCCCAAGCCAGAAAGTGGTCGCCGACCCATTGGTTTGCCCACAGACACACTGAGGGTATACATCAAGTATCAAGTGCCACAAGCGGGACCAAATCGAGTGGCTCGGAGCGCATGCCAAGAAGTACCACTACGCAACAGCGCGGAGGAGTTCTGAGCAGGCGCTTTGGACGCAATCCGCCATGGTGAAAGCAGGTTTGGCGCGCCGGGGAGATGCTGCCTCGGTCGTGCTGGGTCTCAAGAAGGCTTTCGGGAACATGCCGCATGCGAAGTTTTGGGGATTTGGGCGCAGGCGTGGTTTCAAGCTCTCGCGACCCGCCTTGCTTCTCAAGTCGCATGCTGGCAGAAGGGCGATGCGATTCGGCAACTTGGTCTCTGAGTTCGTCATCGCGAGCAACGGCGCCATTGCTGGATTTTCTTTCGCCGCGACGGTTGCGCAGTGATTCGCGCTTGGGGCTTACGAGCAAATCTACGCGATGTGGCCGTATCTCGTTATCACGCAGGTCGTTGATAATGGCAGCCCTGAAGAAACAGGTTCTCACGAACAGGTTGCGAGAATGATTGCCCCAGCTGTCAGACAGTTGTGCGCCGCATCAACGGTCCGCAGGTTCGGGCTCAGCCCAAACAATGGACGTGCGATTAGCGCATCGCCCCAGCTCGAGAGAGAGAGAGAGAGTCTTTTCGCTCAAGAAGTACAAGTTCAGGGTGCACAGATCAGCGGGGCAACTGGGACATGACCGCTCTATGAGACGCGACGCGGCAGGTCCAGCACATCGAGCACGGGTCAAAGAGACATCCAAGAGGATAGCTAGATGCCGTCGACTGCCACTCGGCGGAAAGCAGTGGGGCATATGATTTCGCGGTGGTGGCCTGGCTTCGGTTGCTCGCGCAATCAAAGCGCAAGGCATGACGGAAACGCAGTCCCAGCAGGCGAGGGTCAATGGCGGGCACGCGCTGCTCGGAACTGCCAGGGGGAGATGCCGCGAAATGGAGTCTCAACTTTCGCACTGCCCAAAAGCTGATCCCACTTTTGTTGCGGACGAGTACCTTCTGGTGTATTGGCTGCGGGCTCTGCATGGGGCATGGACGCGGCACAAAGCTATGGCTTTGGCGTTCATGAACGGGCCGGATCAGATTCAGTCCTGGCGCTGAGTTCAAAAGCCAGCAGGCGCTGTCATCATGACCTTGAGTAGGCCGGGGCGGCATGCTGTTTCTTGGGGTCGCTGGGCCATTGAAGGCGGAGTGGCGCTGCAATTGCACGGCTTGGGGCCATCTGCGCCCAAGAAGATTAGCAATGAAGATGCCCGGAGGCGTCTGCAAGCCGAGATCCCTTGGAGTCGTGGCATGGAGGGCGTCGCGGGCCCGCCCTTGCCGCAGCCTGCCGAGCACCTCATTCGTGCATTGTGTCGGCGGGATGCCTTCAGAAGTGCTGGGCTGATCAGGACCTGGTTGCCTGTTTTTACTGCCAGGCGCGGCTGTTCAACGCTGGGGCAGCGGCAGTGGAGTGCCCTATCCGCGCGATTTGTAGTGTTGAAGATGGCGCGGGCCCCCATCTGCTCTTCGGCCGCGATTGGCATGCAGCGGGGGGGCAGAGCTGGGCGGCAAAGGAGCGAAGGCTGTTGTTGCGGGGCAGGCGTCTGCGCGGACAGGGGCACCCCATCGCCGCGTCACGTGCAAGGGGTTCATGCCCGATCCCGCCTTCAATTCGCCCATGCCGGCCACGGGGGGCCTCCTCACTTGGCGTGCGTGCGCAGTCAGTGGTCTTATCAGTGGAGTTGTGTGTGCCGACGGCAGCTGCGTATATCCTCGGTGTGAAGTTCGGGATCGTGCTGGCTGGCCTTGCGCGATGTTCAATGCAGTGGGTGATGCCGTTGCTGCTGCGTCGGGACCCGTGCCCTACCCTCGGGTGCCCTGTGTTGGTGAGATCTAGGCCGTCATCAAAGCATTGAAGCATAAGTCGGAGGGCGCATCGCGATCGTGACTGTCTGCATAGATCTCAAGCAGGCATTGATGGAAGATTACCCATGCGGCTGCAGCTCCAAGCATCAGTACATGGAGTTGCGGATCATGCTCTCAGACGTCGTGCTCGGCATTGGCGTCTCGGAGATCGACGTGGTCTGGATCCCCTCGCGCTCGACGAAGGCGCAGGCCAGCAACCGCGGCGTGGGCGTCTCCAATTGGAAGGGAAACTGCGCTGCAGACTGGCATGCATTCGAAGCTGGGCGCCGCCTGCCACCCCCATCAGCGGCCACGAGAGAAGCTGCGAGAGGTCAGGGAAGCGGCGGCCCCACTGACCCTGAGGTGCGTGCTTCGCATCCTCAAGCTGTGCCAAGAAGGGGGATGGAAGGACGTGCAGCAAGTGGCTGAGGGAAGGCCTGTGCGTGGCCCTAGTCTGGTCCTATGTGAAAACGTTGGCCATTTAATTCAGTGCATCTAGGGGGCGGTGGCAGTGTGGGCGATGCGGAGATAGCAGAGCTCGTCGTCGGGACCTGGCTCCTGTGCCTTGCATTGGGGGCCCCAAAGGGGTCCGTGAAGCGCACCCGTCCCATACGATTTGGCGGGCTGGTCCCATGGTTTTGTGCTTCGACTGTGCTGCCCGGTGTTTTCCGATGGCCTTTTTGATCTCCAGACCCTGTTTTGGGAGACCGCCCCTGGGATCTGCGAGGCACTTCAAGCGTAGGTACCTCATCCAAGGGGGCCCGTCTGGTGAGTAGGTGGGGAATGGTTTCAAGAAGCCTGTACCCATCCCCGTTCGCGGCGATCGGCAGCGGTCGTCTTTCCTCATCATGATGATTATCGTTGTTGACCTGGTGCATCGTTCTCGGCACACCTCGTCGTCATCCAGAGACTAGAGCCTCCTCCTCCTCCTCCTCCTCCTTGTCCTCCCCCTCCCCATCCCCTTCTGCCAGCATCTCCTGGCGAAAGGTACCATCGATCCCAGGACGACGTCTCCCCCCCCCCTGAGCCAGCCCCCCCTCCTCCTCCTCCTCCTCCTCCTCCTCCTCCTCCTCCTCCTCCTCCTCCTCCTCCTCCTCCTCCTCCTCTGCCCCCTCCTCCCCTTCCTCCTCCTCCTCCTCCTCCTCCTCCTCCTCCTCCTCCTTCCTCCCTCCTCCTCCTCCTCTCCTCCTCCTCCTCCTCCTCCCTCCTCCTCCTCCTCCTCCTCCTCCTCCTCTTCCACAATTACTCAATGTGAATATTATTCTCCCTCTTCCCCTGATGACGGCCTGGGAGTGTCCGACCCCCCCCGCGTACTGTTATTTTACACACAGGTTTCCCCGGAGTTGGGTTTTCGCCTGCATTTGTTTCAAAATGCTGCTCTCGCTGATGCGCCGGCCTCATTTTCGGGCCCCGCTCGTTCCGAATCGTGTTCCCGCTGCAGCGCTGGCCTCATTTCCGTGCTTCCGCTCGTTCCGAATCGTGCTCCCGCTGCAGCGTTGGCTTCATTTCCGCGCTTCCGCTCGTTTCGACTCGTGCTCCCGCTGCAGCGCTGGCGTCATTTCCCGTACCATGCCACGGCGTGCTAGGTTGATACTACGCTTTGCGGTGCTCTTCTACGCCATGCCACGCCGTGCTCTACAATGCATCGCGTACCCTTTCGGCATCATTGCCCTGCTCGACATCCGACTGTGCGAGTAGAGAGGGGATCTGCGCCATGGTAAGGGATGGGAGGGAGGGGCAGGATGTCAAATATGACGCGAGCGCACCTGGCTTGCCCCCCTCCCCCTCCCTTTCCCCCTTTCCGCGCTCTCGAGGCCCCGCTGGGCCAGCAGATCTGCGGCGCCCGGGAGCCGCTGCCGCCCCTGCTGGACGCGCTCGCCGCGCGGCAGGGGGCCCTGTCGCCCCTCGCCTGCAGCCGCGTCGCGGGGGCGCTCACCGAGCGGGTCTGCGGCCTCGGCCCCGAGGCGCCGCGCGCGCGGGAGGTGTCCGCCCTGTGCGAGCTCTTCGAGACCTCGCAGGGGGAGGACCTGGTGCGCAGAAGGGGCCCGGAGATGCGAGGGTCGGAGGTGGATAGGCCTCCTACCCTGACGCGTCGATTCGTGAACTGGCCGTCTTCGGTTCGCAGGAGGGCGCCGCGGCCGTCGTTTCTGCGTGTCCAGGTGCGTCGGTTTCGGTCCCAGGCCGTTTTCACTAGGGTGAGGTTTGCTAAAGGGAGGTTTGTCCACCGCCGAGAGGATCGCTGTCTTTCTCAGTCTGGCGTTTCTTTTCCTGGATTTCGGCCTCCAGGGCCCGTCATGGGGCCCGGAGGCCATCAAACATGGATCCAGGACCATAAAATTCACCTCTGGGGGAGGGGGCGGGACCAAGACATCATATCGGCGGACGTCTGGGAAGGAGGCATGACAGCAATACGTTCCTCCAAGGCTTCCCAGAATTCCAGTATGTCCTGTTACTCCGCACGGGCTCCAGCAACGAGTATTTCCAGAATTCCTGGGACGCATGTTGAACCAGCCGTTGTCTTAAGTCGGGCACGTCCCTCTACAGGAGGAATATTCAGAAGCAGTAGAAAATACTCGGGGTACGATTTGTTTTGCATATGATTTTGACAATTGCTATAAATTTGTCGTCCAAAATCCGCCGGTAGGAGGACATGCCCGACCTAACCTTTGTCCTGTTTTCCCGCTCTTGCATGCTGGCTAATTCGCTTCAGCGGCGCGCTCACTCCGCTAGCGCAGACAACCCCTGCCTCGCCGCCGACGCAAAAGTGTTGAGAACCAGCCGCGTCATGAATCATGACATTATGTTCGCCCCAGGTGCGGCTGAAGAGGTTCGTCGACGCCGCGGGCGCCGACCACGACATGCGGCAGGTGGTCTTCTCCGCCATCCCGCCAGGCCCGCTCCGCCAGCGCGTCCTGGACCACTTCAGGCAGCAGGCGGCCGAGCTGGACGAGCGGCCGAACCACGTGCTCTCGGACATCGACAACACCGTCTGGGTCGGCACGTTCGGCACCGGAGGGCCGAAGTTCCCGCAGGGGCCCGTTCCCGGTGCCGTGGCGCTCTACAACGCCGTGGGCGGGCACACCACCTTCCTCTCGGCAAGGCCGCCGGTGTGGATGGCCAACACCCGCAGGCTCGAGGAACGCACTTTGCCACAACTTCTTCAAGAAGAGCCCTGCCCTCACACTCTTTAGCGCTTATAGCCAAGCGCCAAGCTGCTGCCAGCACCGGCTGTCCGTCTGATGCTGGCCCCCGGGACCAATTCGGGGCAATGATAGGGGGGGAAAAGGCATAGGGGGGGATGCATCGATCCCCAATCGCCCATCTGATCGCCGATAGGGACCCGATAGCCCCACCCAGCCCAGGCAGGTGCGGATTCACGATCGGGAGCCTGCCGCCGATCTATCGGCGATGTATCGCCGATCCCAGGTCGATGCATCCCCCCCCTATGCCTACCCCCCCTTATCGTTGCCCCTCAACCAAGCTCCTGGGAAGCCCGCGTCCGCGGAGCAGTTTGGCCCCCCGGGAGGCTGCTGCTCGACGAGGTGGGCGTGGCAGAGGCCGTGGTGCTGCCGGGCACCCTGAAGAACGCCGTGCACACGCTCTTCCGGCCGGAGCAGGCGCACAGGGCGATGGGCGAGCGCAAGCTCGAGGTCTTCCTCGAGTTCGCGGAGCTCCACCCCGAGGCCCTCTGGGGTCTGGGGAGGAGGAGGAGGAGGAGGAGGAGGAGGAGGAGGAGGAGGAGGAGGAGAATGAGGAGGACGACGAGAGGACGAGGAGGAGGACGAGGAGGAGGAGGACGAGGAGGAGGAGGAGGAGGACGATGACGAGGAGGAAGAGGAGGAGGAGGAGGACCACGAGGTCCTCGAGGTCCTGAGCTCCACCTCGGGGTCCAGGGCTCAGGTCGCAAATGTTCGCGCTGTTGCAATGTTTTGCAATGTCGGGTCTCAGGGAAGGGGGGGTACGTACCAAATTCGTTGCGTGCACCCAGCTTCGGCCCCGCCGCCAGGCGTCTTCCTCGGAACACGGTGGCGCCTCAGGCGCTTGGATCATCAGCTCCGCCAGCTGATTTGCTGGCCCTCCCCCCCTTTGCCATCCCCCCCTCCTCGTCCGACCCGAGAGGCGCGGTTCATCTTCTTCGGGGACAGCGGCGAGGGCGACGTCGACTTCGCCCTGCAGTTCATGTCGACGCACGACGGGCTCGCGAGGGATCGGCGCGACCGCGCCGCGCTGATCCACGACGTGGCGCTGGCGGACGGCGTCGTCCCGAAGACGCCCGCGGCGCGGCGCCAGGAGCTGCGCCTCGGCGGCGTCATCGTCTTCGACACGTTCGCGGGGGCCGCCGTGGAGCTCGCGAGGCTCTCCGGCGGCGCGCACGAAAACGTCGACGTCGGCGTCGGCGCCGCCGGTCTTCCTGGGGGTGCGGGGCGATTCTGGGGCTGTGTCGCCACGGCCGCACGCGGCCTCGGAAGGAGGAGGGAGGGGGAGGAGGAGGAGGAGGAGGAGGAGGAGGAGGAGGAGGAGGAGGAGGAGGAGGAGGAGGAGGAGGAGGAGGAGGAGGAGGGAGGGAGGGAGGGGGGAGCCGGAGGAGGAGGAGGAGGAGGAGGAGGTTGAGGAGGAGGGAGGGGGAGGGGGAGGAGGAGAGGAGGAGGGAGGGGGAGGGGAGGAGGAGGAGGAGGAGGAGGAGGAGGAGGAGGAGGAGGAGGAGGAGGAGGAGGAGGAGGAGGAGGAGGAGGAGGAGGAGGAGGAGGGGGAGGAGGAGGGGGAGGGGGAGGAGGAGGAGGAGGAGGAGGAGGAGGAGGAGGAGGAGGAGGAGGAGGAGGAGGAGGAGGAGGAGGAGGAGGGAGGAGGGAGGAGGGAGGAGGGCGACACCCCTCAGCATTCGGCGCGGCGCTCTCGCCTCGGCTCCGGCCACACCCCTAATAAGTGGGTCTTGTGCTGCCTCGTGAGCGCCAGCCGCGGTCGCATGCTGCGGCGCTCATGGTGTGCATCTTGGAGGGGCTGTCCGGGTTGTCCGGGGGATCTTGTTGGAGCACATCTTTTTTCCCATTGAGCATAGTACAGAGGATGCGTCTTGAGCAGGCTTCGGCTGGGGGCCAGGGTACCCAGACCCCCTCGCGCTGTGAAGAAGTTACGGCGGGAGGTTCTTCGTTATTTTCGGCCTCCAGGGGCCCTTCCAGGGCCTCGGGACCGTCAACAAAACGACGCAGGATGAAAAGCTGGCCCCGGGGAAGGGGTCCGGATTTCTGGGCTGTCGACGTTGCGAAACAATCACGACGCTGGGGGTCTGGGTAAGAGGGGGCGTCCGTCTGAGAAGTCAGAGGCGACGAAAGCGGCGAATAGCCCAGGGGAGAGCAATACATGTATTCAGGTGCGCCGATGCTCTATGTCTTCGAAAAGGCTCCCGGGCGAATACGTGTAATGCCCGACCCTGGGCTATTCGCCCCTATCGTCGCCGCCGAAGAAGGCACCCCCCTCTCGGAAGCTTTCCTGTCTCCCCCGGGGGTAACGTAAGGCTCGAGCTTGTCGTAGTTTGAGTTTGCCGCCGCCTCTCAGGAGTTCTGAGCGTCTGGTGGTCGTGAGACGTCTGCTCGTGCGGGGGCTCGTGCCAATTTTTAGATGTCCTCCCGTCATTGTTTCTGACGGCTCCCTCAGACAAGCTCGGGCCCCCCAAACCTCGAGTCATGCATGCATGTTTCCCGATTCCGGGAAGCCTGCGGGGAGGCCTCCAGGAACTCGTCAGATCCTTCCAGGAAGCCCTGTGCCTTCTTCGAAGACCCCCCCTTCCTTCTCCCCCCCCCCGACCGACCCCCCGACCGAAACTCGCTCATGACCGCCCCTGCTGGAAGCGCCCAAACGCTTCCAAAACAAATCCAGAACTTCCGACATCTTCAGTCGAGCATCTGATTGAGAAACCTCCTTCCGAAAAGCTGTGCCAGTATTTGTTGACGAACTTGCCAGGAAGCTGGCCCAGGTGCTGGAGCACGTTGGCTCCTCCAGCGTCAACAGCAGAACTTCGCCCAGGTCTTTTTCAAGAACTTTCCAGGAAGCTGGCACAGATTTCGTAGATCATAACTGAGCGACACAAAAGAACGGGGTCGTCTGCGCCGACATTGGCGCGCAAGCTCCCCACGTAAGGTCGCGCTTGAGCGCCCCCGTCTCAAATGTAGGTAGCGTGCCGCGCTGGCGGCCCGCGTAAGCCGCCGAGGAAGGTCGCCATGTCATCTCGCGTAAGACCCGTTTTTGATAGTCGCTCAATTCTCTCGACCACATTTTCCCAGATCCCCGGCGTCATTCTAGACCCCTTCCCTGGGACCGGTGTTTCATCCTGAGTTATTTGTTGACGGTCCCGAGGCACAGGAAGGGCCCCTGGTGGCCGAAAATGCGGCGAGACCTCCCGTCGTGATTTGTTTCACGACGCGAGGAGGTCTGGGAAGGGCCCTGGGAGGCCGAAAATAGCGAAAGACCTCCCGCCGAGGGGGTCTGGGTTTCTGCTCGTCGCTCCATTTTCTTGGCTCTATTTCCCTTGGCGCGACGACGATCCAGACTCGCTCCTCGACCCAGCACTGCTTGCTGCGGGGTCGTAGCCCCTGGCGACGCGAGGCCCCCCCCCCTCCCCCCGCCCCAAGCCGCGAGAGAGAGAGAGAGAGAGCGGGAGACCTCCGCGGGCACCTCGACCCTCGAGCGATCGACGACGACCAGGGCTCGACCTGGAACTTAGACGTCGAGTAGGGGATCAACTGCAGAATTTTATCTAGCCCGAAGTTGATTTTCTCGTCGGGTGCACCATCAAGTCACGGCCTGCTCGTAGGTAATTCCACGTTTGTTTCGTAGATCCGACGAGAAAACGGGTTTTAGGTAGATAAACTGTGTAGTCGATCCCCCACTCGAGAACGGCGTTTTGGGTATTTCGTGTACCGCTTTCGTTTCGCGATCGTTTTGCGGCAGAGGGGGAACGGAGACGCAGCAAGGCAACACGAGGAAAAAGCCAGAACGCAAACAGTGCTTACAGCGGAGGCCCATGTGCCAAGAAGCACCCTGCTTGCCTCCTGGGTGCCGTGGGCTACGTGTTTTTTTCGATGGCTTTGCGACGGAAAGCGTGACGTGCCCACACCAAAAATCAGCGGACGTCCTGGGGCCTCAGGGCTCGGCTTCCTGTGGCAGGCTTCCTGTGCACTGGCCTCCGCTAGTACAGTCAAAAACCCTAATAAGGACGCGCGACTTTGCTCAGGGTACATACCCTTGCGTCCGTGCTCTTCCTTGCTCTTGCGCCCTTGAGGTTTTCGTCGTCCGCCGCCCCAATAAATCCCAACTTCGGCTTCCAAGGGTCTCGCGTCCTTACCGCGCGTCCTTATTAGGGTTTCTGGCTGTAGGCCGAGGCCCCGACGACGAGCGTGCCGCGCCGCCGAGGCTCGGCCTGCTGGGCGCGGACGGGCTCCGGGCCGCCGCGCACCGCTGCCTGGAGGAGTTCGGCGACATCCCGCCGGAGGAGTTCGCCTCGCCCGAGGCGCTCCCCCCTCCGGGCGCCCCTCGCGCTGCGGAGGAGTCACGGCGGGAGGTTTTCTTTGCCATGTTCGGAGCAGAGGGAGGAGGAGGAGGAGGAGGAGGAGGAGGAGGAGGAGGAGGAGGAGGAGGAGGAGGAGGAGGAGGAGGAGCAGGAGCTTGAACAGGAGGAGGAGGAGGAGGAGGAGGAGGAGGGAGGAGGAGGAGGAGGAGGAGGAGGAGGAGGAGGGAGGAGGAGAGGAGGCGGAGGGAGGAGCAGGAGGAGGAGGGGGAGGGGAGGATGGGGAGGCAGCAGGGGGAGGAGGAGGAGGCGGATGGCGGATGGCGGAGGGTAGAGGAGGAGGAGGAGGAGGGGGGGAGGAGGAGGCGGATGGCGGATGGCGGATGGCGGATGGTAGAGGAGGAGGAGGAGGAGGAGGAGGAGGAGGAGGGAGGATGAGGAGGAGGAGGAGGAGGAGGAGGAGGAGGAGGTTGAGGAGGAGGAGGAGGAGGATGCGGAGGAGGAGGAGGAGGAGCAGGAGCTTGAACAGGAGGAGGAGGAGGAGGAGGAGGAGGAGGAGGAGGAGGAGAAAGGACAGAGGAGGAGGAGGAGGAGGAGGAGGAGGAGGAGGAGGAGGACGAGGAGGGGGAGGAGGAGGATTTTCGGCCTTCGGGGGCCTTCAGGATGAAAAGCCGGCCCCGGGGAAGGGGTCCAGATTTCTGGGGGTGGACGCTGCGGCCCCAGCACGGCACCTGGCTCGGCCTCCCCGCCCTGGGGGAACCGGCCCCCAGGCGCCGTCAATACCTGGTACGCAGTCCCCGCTGGCGCGGGGCCCGACTTGCCTTACGGCCCTGGCCGCTGCTGTAGTTGTTTTCGCCCTGGCCATGGCCCGTACCTGGCCACGGCCTGGCTCGGTTTCCCTGGCTCTGGCCCCTTCGTGACGTCTTCGGCTCACGCGTCTTGACCAGTTCCGGCGCGAGTGCCTGCACTTCCCTGGCCTCTGGTCCCCAGTCACCGCCTTGCCTGGCTGTGTCAGGCTCCCCTTTCGTCGCAGGCTCCTGGGCTCAGGTCCCCTCAGCCCTCGGTGGGTGCGACCCCGCTCTGTCCCTCGCGCCTTTGGCACTCAGTCTGGTTCCGTTGAGCCGGGTGGGGCACCCTGGCGTTCTGGCACGAGTGCTTGCACTTCCCTGGCCCAGGCTTCTGGTTACCTGTCAGCTGGCCCTCTGGGATTCTGGTCCGCCGATGCACTCAGGAGTGGTTCAGCCTTCTTGATCGACCAGGCGTGTCCCCTGTTGGGCCGAAGCCCTGACCTCTGGCGCCCCGTGGCGACAAGGTCCAATTCATAGACCTGGTGATTCAGCTCCCTTGGTACCCGCACGTTTGCAGCTTCCTGGCAGCCCCAGCAGCTTGCAGTCCCCACCTTCGGCGCTGGTTCCCAGCCTCGGCGGTTGCAGCACAGCCCCGGCGCAGCTGCTTCCCCTGGCGGTAGGTCCTGCTTAGCTCTGCACGCGCGCCGGCAATTAGGTTCGCTCGTAGCCCGAGCCTGCTCTGCCTGCTGCGTGCGCCTTCGCCTGTGGCCGCGACGAACAAGTATCCCTACCAGTGTTCAACCACGTGAGGTCGCCACTGTTGGCACGCGACACAGGTGCGCTGCGCTGCTTGCTCAGCCCCACGCTATGCCGTGCTTAGCTCGGGTGGCTCTTTTACCCTTGGCGCCTGGCGCGACAAGGTACAATTCGTTTGCCTTCCCGGTGGTGTCGCCCCTGGAATGGTTGCACTGCAGCCGCCTGGCACACGTGGTACCTCTTGCAGCTCGGCCTCAGTCCCCGGCGTCGCTCCTCGGCGTCCCTCGGCGGCAGTTTCGGCGGCCGTTAGTTCGTGCGCTTAGGTAATTAGGCTTGGCTCGTAGCCCGGGTTGACTTCGGACGCCGCCTGCGCTCTCGCTTCCGGCCGCGACGGAAAAGTGTCCCCACCAGTCTGCCTTGTTTTTTCCTTCGCAGGTGGCGCAGCCTGCCCCTGCTTGCCCGTCGTCCGACTCGCATGGTGCGCCTGCGTACCAAAAGATTATTGTATCCCCACCAGCCTTTCTTCGGCGCGGCCCGCCTTAGCTTGCGCGGCGTTCGACTCGTCTTCGCGCGCCCGCGTACCAAAAAGTATCCCCACCAGCCCAGTCAGAAACGTTGCCCATGAGAGTTGACAGGGAAAGGGGCGAAGAGACACAGATTCTTGGGGCCCGCAGGGGGGCGAGGGGATGCTGATGATGCTGGTGATGATTGAGATGCTGATTGTGATAATGACGGCGGTGATGATGATGATGATGGTGATGATGATGATGAGGATGTGGATGGTGATGATAATGGTGTTAATGATGATGTTGATGATGGTGATACTAATAATGATGATGATGATGGTGATGATGATGATGAGGATGATGATGATGATGATGATGATGATGATGATGTTGATCATGGTAATGATCATGGTGATGACGATTGCGATGATGATCGTACATATGACGACGATGATGATGGTGATGCTGATGATGATGATGATGATGATGGCGAGGAGGAGGAGGAGGAGGAGGAGGCAACCCGCCTCTTGGGGCCCTCGCGGGACGCTCTTGGGCGCTTTGGGGGCCGTTTTGGTTGGGGCTCCCTTCGGACCGCCCTCGTGGGGTTCGCTTGGGTTTTTTTTGGGAGCCCTGTAAGGCCTGTTGGAGCCACCTTGTAGGACGTCAATCAAAGGAGGGGGTTCCCGATTTCGGCACCCCCCCCCTCCGTGGGGCTATCAGCATCGCCTCTTGGGGCCCTGTTTGGCCGCCCTTAGGCCGCTCTCGGGGCCATTTGGAGGGCCTCTTGGGCCTCTCTTGGGCCTCTCTTGGGCCATCTCGGGACCATCTTCAGGCTTCAGAAGCGCATCGGAGGCGAAAAGGCGAGAAGGCACAAATCATCATTGTTTGGACACTGGAACTTTTGGTGGGTCCCGAGGGGACTTCGAGAGCACTTCGAACCGTGTCGTGGCCCCCGTCGGATGTCTTGGAGGTATGTCGGAAGCCATATTGAGCCACCTTCGGCTATCTTGAGCCATCTTGGAGACCTCTTTGGAGCATCGGACGCCCTCTTGCGGCCCTCTTGGGCGAAAGAGGACCCTCTGACACATCGCGGCCCGCCCCCGAGCAGTCTCACGGAGAGGAGGAACAGAGGGCCCATCCCCGAAGGGAAGAGGGGCTCCGTCAGGGGAAAGAGCAACCGCGTTAGACCACATTCGCCCAACTGGGTTTTGGGATTCAGCTACGTTTGGATGTGTGGCGATGTTGGCCTCTTGCGAGGGTCCTTCTGAGGGGCTCCGAGAGCACTTGGGGCAGTCTTTGGCTGCGTCCAGGCATCTCGGAGGCATGTCGCAGACTATCGTAAACCATGCCCCGTCATCTCGAGTCGTCTTGGGAACCATCTTGGGGTGCCGGGGGGTGGATATCTTGGGGCCACCTTGGACCCAAAAAGACCATCTGCCATTCTGCGTCCCCATCAAATCCCAGGGGAGGGGGAGGGGATGAGAGAACCCCTTCCCAGATAGCGAATAGGGAACGAATTGGTTTAGGAAGGGAGAAGGGTTAGGTCGGGCATGTCCCGCTACAGATTGGAAGAACAATGAAACATAGTCAACAACATTCAAGTCGAATCAAAGACAGACGACAAATCTTCCCCGGACCATTTTTTCCTACTTTCATAGCCTCCGCACAACGGAACGGCGCTGTCGCCGCAGCGGTGCCAGCGGCGGCTGTGCGCTTGCGTGCAACCAAATTGTCCGTTGCATCTGAAGGGTGGTGCTCTCGCAGGTGCGTTTGAAGTATTTGATTCCGGTGGAAAAAACACACACAATTAATCGTCGATTCCCAGGAATAGATGCGGGGGTAAGACGAACCAATACAGACAATGTTTTGAAAGGTGAGGATTCCTGGGATTTGTGTCTACGTATTTGTGTGTCCCTTGGCTCCCCCATTGATGTTCACCCGGAAGCCCGCGTCCCACGGAACGGCGCTGCCGCCGCAGTTGTGGCAGTGGCGGTCGCACACTTGCACCAGCAAGAGTGGCGATCACCAGCAAGAGTGGCGATCCCGCTGAGGGTTTGCAGCGTGCCCGTACCCAGGGCTCCTCCGATTCGATTCGATTCGATTTTGGTGGCTTCCGATTCCGATTCGATTCGACATGCGATTCCGATTTGGGCTCCGATGTCATGACGGAGGCCTTTCAGGCTGCCGATTTCCGCCGATTCGATTTTTCCCGACTCGGCTGCCGATTTCCGCCGATCCGATTCATTTCGATCGTGCTGCCCGCGGCCCCGACTCTGCAGCACGGGTGCCCTCCTACCGCGCGTGCCGCCCCACCGGCCGGCGCTCTCCTCCGCGGCCCCGGCCGCTCCATTTGCCTCCACGTGCTCCCTCAGGGGGGCAAACAGTGGCATAAACATGAAAACCCGGAGGCCCGCGCGGATTTCTCGGATCGGCGCCGGGGCCCCCGGGCGGCGCCTGTGGCGCCGCCACTGGCGCGCTCCGCGCGCCGGGGAGGGGGGTCCAGCGTCGATCCGAGAAATCCGCGCGGACCTCCGAGCTTTTGTGCTTGTGCCACTTTTTGTTCCCCTACCCCTGTGCCTCCCCAGGGGGCGGCTCTCGTGTGCCGTGCTCTGCTGCTGGTGAGGTCGGATGTGGGGGAAAGGCCGTGGAGACCGAGGATTCTCCCGACGCCCGGCTCTGCGAACCGAGAGCCTCTCAAACGCAACGGGAAGGGACGGGGGATGGGCAGGTTGCCAGGATGTGGCACGAGCGCCCCTGTCTTGTCTTCGTCTCACTCGCTCGTGGTTACCCTTCCTCCTCCTCATTCCGCATCGTCCCCGCTCCTCGTCCTCGCTCCTCCTTTGCCTCTCCTTCGTCATACGTTTTCCCTTTCCGTCTCCATGTTTCCGCACTTCCCTTTTCAGTATCACTCCTCCTCCTCCTCCTCCGAGGTGTTCGAGGTTCGCCGCAACGAGCTGCTCCGTGACCTGCAGAAGGTGAACGAGGCACACCGTTCTGCTGTCTCCTCGTGCCCCTCCCCCTCATTTTCCTGCTCCTTGTAAGCCTGGACGTCGACGCCTTCTTGCTCTCGTCATCCTCGTGCTCCTTCTCGTGCTCATTTGCCACATCGCTATCGGCGTCATCCTCCTCCGCCCATCCTCCGCCGCATCGACTCGCTGGTTTTGCTTTTCTTTTTTGTTCCCAGCCATCCTGTGGTGTTGGGTCCTGGTTTTGATGAGAGCGCCTCGCGTTCCTCCTCCTGTCTTCCTCCTCCGCCTCCTCCTCCTCTTCATCCTCCTCCTCCCATCCCCGTGCCCAATTCCGGCACACCCCTCACACACTTTGTGGCCCCATAGGGAGCTCTACCAGAGGCACTCGCGGCAGGGTCCGCATAGCGGCCCTGCACCAGATTCTGCACACCCTTCATACGTTTCGTGGCCTCAGAGGGAGCATTACAGAAGGCCCCAGTGGCAGGGTCCGCATTGCGGCCCCGCGCTCATTTCGGCACACGTTTCGTGGTCCCAAGGTAGCGTCACTGAAGGCCCCAGCGGCAGGCCCGCCTGGCAAAATGTAGTGAACATGTTGGGTATCCGATCGCATTCTGAATGATCCACACGACCGCGAGCGCAGGTTTTTTGGTGGAAACCGACGTTGCAAAACCATATGAGTTTATATGTTTTCGGGACATTCGATTTTGAAATCCCCGCCGAACTTCAGGTTTGTTTGGAAAGTTTGGCAAGGGATTCTTGCGACAGCACGCGCGCAAGGATTTCCAGCGATTGCGGCATGCGCGCGCGAGAGGCCCGTTTGGTAGCATGGTATGAAACTTTGAACCACAAGTCGATGGTCTTTAAAGCACGTGCAGGAGCGCGGACGGAGGTTTGTTTGAGCATTCTGGTTGCGAGGCCGTGTTTTTATATACTTCAGGGCACTCGATTCTGAAATCCGTATAGGACCGAAGGTTTTTGAAAGATTCCGGCATACGCGCGACGACGCGCACGTGTGCACTTCGCCCATTTTTACGAGTGCGCGCTCATAGTATTTTCTGCAGGGGGTGAAGGAGGGGGGGGCCGGTTTAGCTGAGATGAAATAAGTTCATATTTCGGACGGGCGCTGGGGCATAATCGTATGTAAATTATGATACGAAAAGACGGTCCGTTAAGTCTGGTGGGTAGATCCACATACTTTTTTAAAACAAAGAAGGGAACCCAGACGGCTCAGACTATGTGGCGCATTATATGCGAAGCGGCAACGGGGCGGCGACGGCGGCAACATAGCCGCCAGACCGACGCATAGCCCCAGACGTCGGGCGGCGATGAGGCGGCGACGCGGCTGCGACGGCGGCAACATAGCCGCCGAACCGACGCATAGCCCCAGACGTCGGGCGGCGATGAGGCGGCGACGCGGCTGCGACGGCGGCAACATAGCCGCCAAACCCACGCACAGCCCCAGACGTCGGACGGCGACGAGGCGGCGACGGGGCGGCGACAGCGGCAACATTGCCGCCAGACAGACGCGTAGCCCCAGACGTCGGGCGGCGATGAGGCGGCGACGCGGCGGAGACGGCGGCAACATAGCCGCCGAACCGACGCACAGCCCCAGACGTCGGGCGACGAGGCAGCGATGGGGCGGCGACGGGGCGGCAACATAGGCCACCAGACCGACGCATATAGCCGCCAGACCGCCGCATAGCCCCAGACATCGGGCGGCGACGAGGCGGCGACGGGGCGGCGACGGGGCGGCAACATAGCCGCCAGACTGACGCACAGCCCCAGACGTCGGGCGACGAGGCGACGACGGGGCGGCGACGGCAGCAATACAGCCGCCAAACCGACGCACATGTGTTTTTTTTGAGACAGCAGTACAAGCCCTAAGATCAAACACTGTGTGGGGAACTGGTTGTACATATATTAAGATGTATATGTACATGTGTAAGTGTAAGAACGGTATGTGTCTCGCCCACCCTCCTTTCTCCCTCATTCCTTCTCCCCCCTCTTCTGCTTCTCTTGTTCTGCTTCTCCTCATCGATCCTCCCATCTTCTGCTTCTCCTCCTCCTCGGTATCCTCCAGAACCAGAGGATTTGTCTGAAATCGCCGCCTCCTCGTTTTCCCTCCCTCTTTGCCGTGTTTCCCTTCTCCCTTCTTTGCCGTGTTTCCTTTCTCCCTCCCTCCTCCTCTTCATCCTTCCCTCCCGCCTCCCCTCCCTCCTCCCTCTTATCCCCTCCCCTTCATCCCCTTTTTTTTGCTCCCCCTGCCTCTCCTCCTCCTTTCCTCCGCCTCCGCCTCCGCCTCCGCCTCCCTCGATCTCCATTGCTCAACCTGCATGGGCCCAAACCTGCCCAATATCGATCCTCAGACTCATCATTGGGTCCATCCAGGCCGATGTTTCGGGCTGCGTCGACTCGTGACCACGATAGCCGTCCAGGAGGCTCCAATAAAGGCAGCCCTGGGTGTTGGTCTTCGTTGTTGTTCACTAGCATGCGGATAGGGGTCTCCAGGGGGAGGTTGGGGACATGGGACACTCGTGCTTCTCCCCTGGCCCCCGCAGACATTTGCGGTTTCGATCGTTTCGAGACACGAGCCCCCAGATCTCAAGACCCCTTCCTGCAGGGCGTGCTGTGCATCCCGAGCCGTCATGGACGGTCCTGGGGCCCAGACGCAGCCCCCGACCGTCGAGAATAGCAAAGTATTGGCCGTCCCGATTTTGATCGGGCCGCACCCCCTCTCTGACCTCCCCCCCCATCCAGCTCTCCTCCAGAACCTTTTCCCAGGCCGACCCTCAGAAGGCGCGCCCCCCCCCCACCTGGCAAAATCTTCTGACGCGGAACGGGCCGCGGCGACGAGGAGACCCCTGGAGGCCCAAGAGGAGCAGGAACAGAAACACCCTGGAGTGTCGATCCTCGGTGCTCGATCCTCGAACTCAGACATCCGACGACGTGTTGTTTCTAACCCGCGGGCCCCAGGGGTCTCCACTCCAGATCCATGTTTGATGGCCCCGGGCCCCGAAGCCGAAATGGGACAAGCACACAGACACAATTCATCGTCGATTCCTGGGGAAGTATGGGAAAATATGGGAAGTGGAGGGGAGGCGAAGCCCCAGAAAAGTTTGGAAAAGGTGGGGAATGTTGGGATTTGTGTGTATTTACTTGTGTGTCCTTGGGCCCCCAACGAGGGGATTATTCACAAAACTGTGCTGGGAGCCTCGAGCCTCAGAGAGCGGATTCCTCGATCGCCCGACGAGGGCAGAGGAGGGAGGGCGAGGGAGCCCCCCCCCTTCCTGTCTCTTCCTTCCCCTCGGGCTCCAGGATGGAGGAGGAGGAGGAGGAGGAGGAGGAGGAGGAGGAGGAGGAGGAGGAGGAGGAGGAGGATAAGGAGGAGGAGGAGGAGGAGGAGGAGGAGGAGGAGGAGGAGATACCTGCCCCGACCCGTCGGGTCCTGCTCTCTCCATCTCGGAGATGCAGCAGGCTTCGCCGCCCCGTGGGTCCTGCCGGAGCCCGGGGGCCCAGGCGCCATCTCCCGTGGCAGGTTTGCGCAGTGCTCCGCGCTGCGCCGCACTCCCCCCCCCGCCTCGATCCTCGAACCTCCCCCCCCCCCCCCCCCCTCGATCCTCGATCCCCGAGCCTCGCCCCGCCCCCCCCCCCCCCCCATCTCCCCCGATCCTCGACCCTCGGGACCTCGTCCCCCCCCCCCCTCGATCCGATCCTCGCGCCTCGCCCGCCCGGCCCCCCCCACCACCTCCCTCGACCCTCGAGCACCGAGACGCCGCCCCGCCGCCCCCCCAACTCCGGACCCTCGAGAGGCGCCCCCTCGCCCGCCCCCCCCTCCCCTCCTCGACCCCCGGGCCTCCTCGCGGCACCGCTCCCCCGCCCCACCCCGGGAGCGCGAGGAGCTCCGCCGGGCCGACGCCCACCCCGCCCCCGGCGCCGCACCGGGCGCGCGCGGCGCCGCCAGCGGACCGTAGGCCCCGAGGCGCCGCCCGCCGCCCGCCGCCGCCGCCGCCGCCGCCGCCGTCGTCGTCGTCGTCGTCGTCGTCGTCGTCGTCGTCGTCGTCGTCGTCGTTTCGCCTTCGTCTTCGCGAGCATCACCACCGCCGCCGCCAGCGCAGGCGCCGTCGCCGTCGTCGCCGTTGCCGCCGTTGCTGCCCTCTGCCGCCGTCGCCGAGCTTCGACGAGTTTCGGAGGCCTTTGGGGGTTCTCGGGGGTCTTCGCAGGTTCCCGGGGGGCTCGGAGGCTCTCGGAGGTCCTCGGGGCTCCCTGAGGCTCCCCGATGTCCTCGGTCATCGGCGGGGTCGTTGGAGCCGTCGTCGTCGGAGTCGTCGCCGTCGTCGTCGTTGTCGATCGGGGTCCGAGGATCGAAGGTTGGTGATCGATGTCTTCTCTTCTCCGAGGGGGCCTCTCGGGGGGCGCCCTCGGTGGCCGCGGCCAGGTTACCCCTCGAGATCCCCTGCCGGAGCGCACGCGGGCCGATCGGGGCTCGCCTTCGTCGATCGCTTCGGGGTCGATCGAGCTTCGGCCGATCTTCGAACGAGGATCCATCGAGTGTCGATCCGTCGATCGTCGTCGATCGATCGAGCCTTTCTACAGTGGGAGCGCGCATCAAGAAACCATACGCTTTTCGTTGGGGTATCCTGGGTTTCTTCGCTCATCGCGCTGCGCGGTGACTTCCCGCAGTCGTTGAAGGAGCTGCTGCGTTCAGGCTGCTCCGGGTTTCCCCCCAGGTGTACCTCGCGCACGGGTTCTCGGGGTTGGGTTCCTTGCGAGGGTTTCTTGCGGCCGCGCCCGCACTGTATGTCTAAGCGTTCCGCCTCGAGGGGCCGTGTCCGCGCCGCGGGTGGGCTCAACATTTGCCAACTTGCCCCCGGGGACGCCGTCGTCGAGAAGGGGTTCGAGGATCGAAGCTCGCGATGGTTGCGCCTCTCGGGGTCTCTGGGTGTGCCCTCGTGGCCGCGGCTAGCCCTGGCTTCTCTGCGAGCTTCCATCAGAACGCATTCTCAGGCCGTCGTCGTCGTCGTCGATCGATCGAGGGTCACCGTTGTCGGCGTAGTCGTCGTTCTCCGATGGGGGACCGATCGAAGGTCAACGTATATCGAGTCTGGTTTCCACCCTCTGGGTGGCATTGCAGTGGGAAAATATGGGAACATATGGGAAGTGGGGGGGAAGACAGAAACCCTGAAAATATTTGAAAATATGGAGAATAGTTTTATTTGTGCGTATTTATTTGTGTGTCCTGGGGCCCCTTCAATTGAGTCTGGTTTCCACCCTCTGGGTGGCATTGCTTTTTTTGTGGGGCGTCCCAGGAGCCATCGCGCAAACATGGACCCGAGGTGGCGCACTGCCCCCAGGGGAAGGGTCAAGACAGACATGGGGCGGCGGCGGCGGCGGCGACGACGACGACGACGACAACGACGACGACGATGGCGGCAGCGGCGGCGGCGGATGGGTTCTGCCGTCGTCCTGCTCAGACGCCTTGGGAGTTGGCTGGACGGCGTGGGCCTCCAGAGGCCTCGTGGGGCCTCAGGAGGCCGTCGTCGTCGTCGTCGTCGTCGTCGTCGTCGTCGCCCTGCTGTTGCTCATGCGTCGTCGCCATCGTCGTCGCGTCGCCATCTCCTTGGGAGTTGCCGTCTTGGGAGGTTCTCGTCGTCGTCGTCGTCGTCGCCGTGGGCCTCAGGAGGTCGTCGTCGTCGTCTTCGTCGTCGTCAGCGCCTTGGGAGGTGGTTGGACGGTGTGGGCCTCTTCGGGGGCCTCGTGGGGCCTCAGGAGGCCGTCGTCGTCGTCGCACTTCTGCTGCTCGTGCTCAGGGGTCCACTCCCTGCCGGCGCGCTGGGGGGTACGGGGGCTCTGAGGAGTCGAGGGGGGGAGCAGCCGCACCATCATCGGCGAGCGAGGGGGGCAGTGAGAAGGAGAAGGCCTGCTCAGAAGGCTCGGAAGCTTCCCGGCTTCCCGGCCTTCTGGGAAGTTGTTTAGGCCTTCCCCGAGGATAAACGAAACAATTTCTCAGGAGGCGCGAGGACTTCTGAGAAGTCCCGCCGCCTTCTGAGAAGGCCTTCTCCTTCTCACTTCCCTCCCTCGCACGCCGCCGAGCAGAGAGGAGGACAAGGATCTTGGGGGAGGCGGAGGCGGATGGAGAGAAGCAGGAGCGGGAGGCGGAGCACAGCCACGAGGAGTTCCAGCAGGAGCATCGCAGAGGGGGAGGAGTGAGGAGGAGGGGGAGGAGGGAGAAGAGGGAGGAGGAGGAGGAGGAGGAGGAGAGACGGAGGAGAAGGAGGAGGAGGAGGAGGAGGAGGAGGAGGAGGAGGGAGGAGGAGGAGGAGGGGGAGGAGGAGGAGGAGGAGGAGGAAGGAGGAGGAGGAGGCGGGGGAGGAAGAGGAGGAGGAGGAGGAGGAGGAGGAGGAGGAGGAGGAGCAGAACAAGTGAGGAGAAACGGTTCGTTTTCCCACCATGGCCATGGTGAGCAAGTTCAGCAGCCAGATGCAAAAAGAGGCCGCAATATACTTCTTACACAAGACGTATCTTTACGAATTGTCCTGCAATCGGAATGTCCTGGCAGGACCTGAGTCGAGGCTTGACCGCAAACTGTTCGATGGACGAGCCTGGCGGCGTCGAAGCGTACTAGAGCGATATTTGAAATGGCCATCGACATGGCTCGGTGCAGCTGCCCGGCGAGCAGGACGTCAGATGAAGTACCCCCAGGCCCGAAGGCAGTGCAAGAGTGAAGAGAGAACTGGAGACCGACGAAGCGGGGGATCCCCAGGAAGGGGGGAAACCCGGACGGCGGGGAAGTTGGCAGTCAGACGAGCACCCCGCTCGTCGTTTCAGCTACGAACTGATCTCTAGAAAAGGAGCCCAATTCATGCTGCAGCAGTGCTGGCGGGCGCCTGGGGGGACCTCAGCATCTACCAACTCAAGTACCGCATTGCGGATGCCGTCGGCGTCGGCATTGAATTCGCGATACACATGTTACATGGCAGACTTCCACTGCGTCCATGCCAGTCATGGACCGCAGAGTCGAGAGAAGCTCCAACCCATGCCCGTCGGCGTCCTGCAGATCTGCCGACAAGCACCGCCACCGACAAAAAAGCTGCCGCGCGACAAGCAGAGAGACCACTTGCAACAGCACACGGTGCGCGGGGTGTTGAAGCGCGTTGCGGGCAGCAGCATGCTCTGCCACACTGTTCGTGGCGTCCGCCGGAAACTTGCCGCATGATGCAACGACGCGCAGCATTCCCGCCTGGCAATACACGCAGCCAAAGGATGAAGCGCGGCCGCGTGCACCGCCCCGACTTCTGGCTGCGCCACTGGATGGGTAGGTGACCCAACCTTAGCGGACTTCTGGCGGCTGGCGGGCGCGGATAGCGCGTCATTCGCTTCGCCACGTATTTGCCGAGCTGCCCGTAATCCATGGGTCGTCAGATAAAGACGGCGCGCGTGCATAAACACATTTCACAGACAATGAAATTCCCAGTTCTGCAAAAGCAGGCGAGGCAGTCGAGCCACCGCGCGGCAGTATGAGAGGATACGTTGCACCTGGCCCCGCCAGATTTATTTGTTTGCAGCCGGAGCGCGGCCACGCTGAGGGCAGCGCGGTCGGCGGAAAAAAGTCGCCAGCAAGCTCACAAGACGGCGCAAGCGTCCTTGTGCTGATCGTTACCTGCAGATCACAAGACGGCGCAAGCGTCCCTGTGCTGATCGATACATGCAGAGGTCTCCGCGCAGAAATGGCACAGCCGACTTCCTGCCCAAGGGCAGCCGAAATGCGCCAGGAAGTAAGCTCACCATTAAGTAATCTGCACGTCGTCGCTATCCTGCGTTCGCTTGGCATCGTCTACGGCACGTGGCGCAGGTTGCGTTCGACAGGCGCCCATTCTAGCCCGCTCGCCTGGAGCCGCGTGACCACTAGAGCACGAGCCAGCGGTCTTTCACTACTCAGCGGAGCTCGGTGGCGCGCGGTTTTGTCTTGGAAGTGTACGAGGGGGGGTGAGCAGCATGAACAGCAGACGAGCGGAGAAGTGGGAAGTAGCAAAGCGGAGTGAAGAAGAGGACGAGGACTTGAGGCGGACGGGGAGAAGCAGGAATGGGAGAAGGAGAGCAGCCATGGGCCGTCGGGAGCTCGAGAATGAGAATCGCAGAGTTGGAGGAGTGCGCAGGTGAAGGAGGAGGAGGAGGAGGCGGCGGAGGAGGAGGCGGAGGGGGAGGAGCAGCACCAGAGAGGAGAAGCGAGGAGGAGGAGCGAGGAAGAGGAGGAGGAGGAGGAGGAGGAGGAGGCGGAGCTGGGGAGGAGGACCCGTGCAGAGGCTGACCTGTGGAGGGCCGTCGGGATCCCGCCCGAGGCGCCCCGCTAGCGCGGAGCCGCCGCCCCGCCGCGGCCCGCCGCGGCCCGCCGAGGCCCTCGGTGGGCGCTCGCGTGCCGCCGCGCGCTCGAGGAAAGGCCTCGCTGCCGCGCGCGCGTGCCCGCGACGACGGCGACGACGACGGCGACGGCGACGGCGACGGCGGCGACGGCGGCGGCGGCGACGGCGACGGCGACGGCGAGCACGACCACGACCACGACCACGAGCGCGAACGCGGACACGAGCACGAGCACGAACAGGAACACTCGCACGAGCACGAGCACGAGCACGAGCACGACGGCGGCGGCGAGGGCGGCCGCGCGGCGAGGCGGCAGCGGCGGCGGAGCGGCCGCGAGACAGTCGTCGTCGGAGTACGGTCGTCGTCCTGGCGCACCGTCGACAGCTAGCGCATCGCGCCGCCGGTTGCCGCTTCGGAGCGGAGGTGTCCGGGTCTGCGGCTGCGGAGGTTTGGCCCTGCGGGGGCTTCGACGCAACGCGCCGTCCCAGGAGAGGTAGCGTTGCCCACCACGCTCGGGAACGACGTGCTGTCCACCTCGTGGTCCCGAGGCGTCAACGTCCCGATATCCACTCGAAAGGCACAGCGTACCGCCAGGGCCTCCGCAGCGACATGCTATCACACAGTTCCCGGCCGTGAGTGCGGCGGCGAGTCCGCCAGCGGAAGCCAGCGGAAGGTCGGCGGAGGCCAGCGGAAGCAACACTGAGGCGTCAACATGGTTCGATTCATGCTCCCTGGATTCTGCCAGGTGTCGGAAGATGATGAGGGGGAGCGGACGCGGAGGAGGAGGAGGAGGAAGAGGATGCGGAGAAGATACGGAGGATGATGTTGGGATGTTGGAGGGTGGGTGCGGTGGTGGTTTCGGGTAGGGGTGGTTTGCGTGGGAGCAAAAGGTGGTCGACTTCCACACGGAAGGGAAAGTAACGGGGGGTCACCCAGGCAAAAGGTGCGGACCCTCCTGACGTGTGCGGTACCTTGCAGACTGTGCGGAAGACGGTCCGCGCGCGCGTGTTTTGCTATCTCCCATCCTCGCGTGGTCGCAAACATGCATGTGTTTAATGGTTTTCGGCCCCGTGTCAAACAACCACTGAGGATTTCAGCTCGCTGAGGGGCAACGACCGCGATTTGTGTTTCTGGGGCGACGGAGGAGGAGGAGGCAATGCTCGTAGGGTACGAGCACACCTAAACAGAAAATTGTCGGCAAGAGCAAACCTAAAGGTCCGAACTTGTCGCGAAGGGGTGTCGTAAGGATTGTTATTGACGGATCAAGCGCGCTCGCTGAGCGTATTTGAATTTGGCCCTGGAAACAACGCTGCCCCCCAAGCGACCTCCAAACTGAGGATGAATAGCCGGTCTTGGGGAAGCCCTGGCGCGCGCTCAGACCGGTGCCTCGAGGCGGACACAGCCGTGGCCGTGGCGACGCGGCCCCCTTCCCCAAGCAGGCGGAGGCCCACCAAGGCAAGCAAACGACAACAAGCAAGCCAATCCGAAAGGCAGCGGAAAGCATGATGGGGGGAGCAGGAGGAGGAGGAGGAGGAGGAGGAGGAGGGAGAGAAGGAAAAGAAGAAGCATAAGCAGAAGCAGAAGCAGAAACATAAACAGAAGAAGAAGAGGAAAAAGAAGCATAATAATAATAACAATAATAATAATAGTAATAATAATAATAATAATAGTAATGATAATAATACTAATAATAATAATACTAATGATAATACTAATACCAATACTAATACTAATATTAATAATACTAGTAATAATCACAATAATAATAAGAAGAAGAAGAAGAAGAAGGGGAAGGAGGAGGAGGACGAGTAGGAGGAGGAGGAGGAGGAGGACGAGGAGGAGGAGGAGGACGAGGAGGAGAAGGAGGAGGAGGAGGAGGAGGACGAGGACGAGGACGAGGACGAGGAGGACGAGGACGAGGACGAGGACGAGGACGAGGACGAGGACGAGGACGAGCAAGAGGAAGAGGAAGAGGAGGAGGAGGAGGAGGAGGAGGAGGAGGAGGAGGACCGTAGCCGCTTCGGCTCAAGTCCGTAGCGCTTCGGCCGAGGAGCTGGCCTGATCTGGCAAGGGGGAGCAGCGCCCCCCAACAGTGCCCCTTTCTGTCTGGCTAGACGAGAGATTCTGGCGTACCTCAGGGCGCATATTGCACGGACGCGGCCGCACCAGCTTTTCCCCGTGCCACACTGCCATGGAGCCTGCTGTTGGCAAGCCTCGTCAGATTTGGAAGTGTGGATCTTGCGGGTGGTCACGCAACCTGTGGCATTGGTCTTTTTGTAAACGCATAGTGGGAAGTCGTGGCGTGATGTTTCCCCAGTGGACCGAAGCGAAGTCGCGAGTGGTCTCCCAAAGGACCTCCAAGGCAAGCCTCATACGATGGGATTGGAGTGTTTGGTCAACCGCAGCCGTCGCCTTTCGAGGACCAGCATGGCCCCTCCCAAATCTATGACACTGACATCCAGCAGCTCATCATTCGATGTGAGAAAGTGGGTGACAAGGCCACTGCCGATACCGCGCCAAGCTGCAGCCTTCTACTCCCCTGCCGCTGGCCCCTGTTTAGGAGCGCGCGAACCAGGCGAATAACAAGCTCACTCAGTTACAATCCGAGCTGGCCAAACTGGTTAGCCGTTAGGAGCGGACGCAGGACTGGATGGGCCAACTGTCTGTACACATCAATGAGTTTGTCGGGCCGATGAACCAGCAAATGGAGCTAGACCGTGAAGCGGTGCACGAGATACATTCGGGGGTGATGAACCTACACCATCCACGCAAGGCTCCAGCAAATGCAACCTTTTCTTAGATCATGGATGGTAATTTTGGTTTGCACTTGGACCCAGATAAAATGTTCGGGCTGTCCGGATATGTGGACCGCACCCCCGATGACAATTCGGAAGCTCAGAAGGGGTTTCAATCGTTGCAAAACCTTTTTGCGTGAGGCGGCTGGATCTATGCTCTGCAAAATCAAGCAGCAGGCTCAGGAGCTCAAGAGAGAATATGAAGCGCAGAAAACAAGATCTGGCAGGCAATAAAAGAAGGGACAAGATGGAAACTTGCCCTTGCTGCAGCAGATGGCCCTTCCAAGCCCCCGACGCCACCGCGCTCCAAGGAACGGGCCATCGCTGAGATGGCTCCCTAGTCAGACATTCCGCGGGCTTCTCACACTTGTTCACCCATGGAGGGACCTCGCCCCTGATGAGCGCCATCACATACTTCAGCATCATCAGCTGCACTCAGAATCGGATGCGTCGTCTCTAGGCAGTCTGCGTTGGGAGTCCGCCCCCGCAGACTGCCCACATGCTCGACCCGCGCCACGTCGACGGCTGCTGCTGGGGTCAGGCCCAGGACGCCATTTACCTTTCAGGAAGGACAAATCACAGAGACACAAGTAATCGTCGATCCCTCAGAAATTATGCGAAACTATGGGAAGTGGGGGGGACGACAACTCAGGAAATCTTGAGAAATGTTGGGAATCCTGTTGCGTGTGTCTATTTACTTGTGTGTCCCAGGGCCCCTTCAACCTTGGCTGGACCAGGCGCTGCGTCCACATCTGTTGGGTTGCCTACGTCAATTGGGTCCAGACCACCAGGCGGGCGCGCTACTGGTGCTGGGAGTCCAGGTTGTGGGGATATGGACGACGATAGCTTTGGCCCGTTGGAGCAACTGCAGGACAGCGATTGCTGCGAGGGCTTCCTCTTCGCGGACGCGCGGCTCCGGAAAAAAAAGGTCAGGATCCCAAGAGGTGTGCTCCTCGGGCAGCAGTGGGGCTGTCGCCACGGGCGTCAGGACACAAGTCAGAACGTAATAACCTGTACCATGGGAGTGGTCAGGTTTCCCAGGTCTGTTCTCCTCGAGCAGACCGGGGAAAGTTGCCGTAGTCGCCAGGGCGCGTGCTCTGTCAGGGCGCCAGCGCGCAGGATTCCCATGGCTCTACGGCAGCCATGGAGAAACCAAACCAGTCAGAACGCACGCCAGTCAAGCTTTTCACGGAGTCCAGTTCCCAGAAGGAGAAAGAGAGGCCACCTGAAGGCAAGGCGCCCCTAGAAACGCCAGGGGCTACAAGTCGTTGCGCTGATTGTCATGCGGGTGTCTTGTTTGTACCAGATCACCGCTTGCCACCTGCGCGCTACCCTGCTACTGTTGAACAGATGCGAAAGGCTGGATGGACGGCGCATGGTGGCCCCGCTGTCCGCGTGGTCGCTGGAGGACGTTCAGTGGGTGCGCTGGCCGTGGCGAATCGCCCCCTGGACTCGTGGGCGCCGGATTCGGGGGATGTCGCACGAGGGCGCGCTGCTCGCGGTGCTTTGAGGCTCGAGGAAGAGGGCCAGCTCGCACTCATCGCGCGCTTCCTGCATGTAGGAAAAGGATGCACCCTCAGGAATGTTAAATGGGCTCATTTGATGGGACAGGAAGCTCTATATGTTATCTTCCCGCACATAATCGGCGGCGTCTCAAAGACGGCCCCGGAGAGCTCGGCGAGGCCATCCCACTGCACAAGCTTGCAGGCGTCACCAGGGCGGACGCGGAGTCGCCTTCGTATGTGTTGGACGGCCATGCCTCCACTATCGATTAGTTCTGGATTCACCGACATCCAGATGGGTGAAGTACAGTGGGGGGTCTCAGCGATGCACCGTCTCGCCTCATCTGTCTCCTCATCTGTCTGTTGTCCGACGCGTCGCGTGAGTTGGACAAGAGATTGCGGGCGTCCTCGATCCGCATCAGGATGCGCCCACTGATGGGGTCGCGGGCCCAGCCCCCCATGGCTGCAGCGCGATGAGCTCGCGGGGCCCGTCGACATTGGAGGCCAACAAGCGCGCCGAAACCTAACTCGCGGGGGTAGAACAAATATCGTTCACAAGGCGATCCGTTGACGATTGGCGCGAGGCCAACGAAGCGAACAACAGCGACGCGAGCGGGGCGACGGAATGGGAAAAGGAAGGAAGGCGTACTTGGATCCAAGAGGGCTTCGACAATGCAGGTTTGTGGATGTTCCCGGCGCGGCGCTTCGGGGCGCTTCCCGGGGGCGCCTGGGAGGGGCCCTCTTGGGCTTCTCTCGGGCCCTCTTGGAACTCTTACCGGA